GTACATGTATATGCTCCATTGTCAGAAGGACCAACTTTATGCACAGTCAAAGAATTAGCAGTCACTGTTGTTCTTAATGATGTCACTAATACAGTACCACCTTTCTTCCACAATACTGATGGTGGTGGATTTCCTGTTGCCTGGCAATGCAAAACCATATCACTTCCAGGTGTGAAAGTCACCCTTGAAGGCGAGGTTTCAGAGAAAGTTGGTGGAGCTGAAGAAAAAGAAAGTTTTAATATCATGAATTATGACTTGTAGCATGCAAGTAGCAAAGTATCTGAAAACACAATGTATAAATCAGTAACTTGAATGGAGAGGGGGATAGAGCGTAAAAAATAATATTTCGTGATGTACATTGTAACAATCTATCCCTTCAGAATTCGTTATTTAACCATACAGTGCTTTTTGACGGCACATTTATTATATATCATTTATCTTGTCTATTGCATGCAACATGTACAAATGTGTTATTTTTTAGTGTGTACTGAAAGAACAATTCTTACCACTGAATCAGCTGTACCCATGTGTTATTTTTTAGTGTGTACTGAAAGAACAATTCTTACCACTGAATCAGCTGTACCCATGTGTTATTTTTTAGTGTGTACTGAAAGAACAATTCTTACCACTGAATCAGCTGTACCCATGTTATTTTTTAGTGTGTACTGAAAGAACAATTCTTACCACTGAATCAGCTGTACCCATGTGTTATTTTTTAGTGTGTACTGAAAGAACAATTCTTACCACTGAATCAGCTGTACCCATGTGTTATTTTTTAGTGTGTACTGAAAGAACAATTCTTACCACTGAATCAGCTGTACCCATGTGTTATTTTTTAGTGTGTACTGAAAGAACAATTCTTACCACTGAATCAGCTGTACCCATGTGTTATTTTTTAGTGTGTACTGAAAGAACAATTCTTACCACTGAATCAGCTGTACCCATGTGTTATTTTTTTAGTGTGTACTGAAAGAACAATTCTTACCACTGAATCAGCTGTACCCATGTGTTATTTTTTTAGTGTGTACTGAAAGAACAATTCTTACCACTGAATCAGCTGTACCCATGTGTTATTTTTTTAGTGTGTACTGAAAGAACAATTCTTACCACTGACAATCAGCTGTACCCATGTGTTATTTTTCAGTTTGTCATTTTGTCCATTTAGGAATCCAATTCTACAGTCATAGAAGCCATCATCATCTGCTTGAATATTTTCAATAGTAATGAAACATCATTAATTAAACTAGCTCTTCCTTCAAACTGGGGATCAATGTGAGCTGGATAGTTACCATACTTAATAAATATTGGCACATCAATTGTACGTTTATACCACTCTATGACATATGGAAAATCAGCTCCTTGGTTGTCTAAACTGCACTCTAACACCACAGTGTCTCCTGTCTCTACATGATACACAGTCTCTACTGAGGTTACAACAACTGTAAAAAAAATAACAATTTATTAAAAATTAATGCTTAGTGTAATTAATGGGCAAAATTTAGACTATTATAGGTCTGCTGTTTGAGAAGAAAACTATGAAAGCACTGCGATTCACAATTTTAAAGTAGGTAATATTATAGTTACAAAAACAGTAAATTTGATTGTATAGCAGTGCATTTATTTTAAATATGTAAATTAGAAAACTAATCACATCCGTGCATTCTCCCAGAGCACCTGAGTATCAATTTAGTT